CGTTTTGTTTTCGTTTTGTTGTTCGTTTTGCCATACCTGTTTTCCTGCACCTCCCTGCCAAAACGAAAAACAAAGCACAGCCGAAATCCAGCAAAACAGCGTTCATGTCCAGTCCTGCAGAGTGACGACCACTGCTCGAACGGATCCAGCTGGAATCGGCGATACATCGCCTGTAATCAAGCTGGAATCGGCGATACATCGCCGATAGATCGGCGATGGGCCCCCGATGGTGAATCCGCACCTTCCTGGGCGGGGTGGGGCTATCGGGCCTCTGTCGGCGATCAGTGGGTGCTTGGGGGTCGATGCATCCCCCCGTATGCCCGTCCCCGCCTAGCGTTGCCCCCGAGGTTCAGAGTGACGACCACTGCTCGAACGGATCCACCACCACATCAGGGCCCCCGCGGGGCGTGCCGCTCGCGTGCGCCTCGAGCCCCTGCCGCGTGACGAGAGAGCAGACGGGCTCGATCGGTGTGCCTGGCCACTCCGGTGGCTCCCTGTGACCGCACCTCGCCCGCGCACGACAGCCCGACGACCCTCGACGGCAACCGAAGAGGCACCCAAGAGGCCCCCAAGGTGCCCCCGGGCGAGATACCCTGGAGGCCCACGGGAGACAGGACCAGTCGGCATCGAATCGGGACGTCGGGTCGAATCGAGACGTGCCTCAGATCGTGCCGCATCGGCACGGAATGGATCTAGCCAGGTCGGCCGCGCCGGCAGCGCCATGCGAGCGTCGGGCCGCATCGGAAGATCGGAATCGAAGCGGATGACGCCGGCCGGAAGCGACATCGGATCGGAGCGGTCAGATCAGCATCGGCCCTGATGGGGAACAACAACAAAAGATGCAAGCACCTCGGGCTTTGTCGGCGAGCCTGCCACCCCGCAGGGTCTGGCCCTGCCTTCCAGACATCCGAGGATGTGATTCTTCAAGCGCGCGGTCCCGGGGACCCGAAAGCGGGCCCCAGGAGCCGGAATCGACGAAAAACGCCCGGATCTGGAGGAAGAACAGAGCGCATAAACAGAAACTGTCGGAGCTCCGCGCGGATTTCCTGGATTCGCGCTGCGGCCCCCTGGCGGCGCCTTCTGCGCCGCCCCTGGCGCGCTCCGCGAGCCAGGGAGGGGCGTCCAGCGCAGAGCCAAGAAACCGCGCAGAGCTCCACAAGTCCATGTCTGTGCCGGGTTTCTTCTTCGCGGATTGAGCAAATCATCTCGTCCAACAGGATTAGGAGGCAACTCGCGGGAGGTCTTTGCAAGAAAGGCTAAGGGCAGTTAAATCCGACTCGGGGGCCATGAAGCCCAAATAAATTGAATTGAGTTCAATATCAGGCCAGATTTAGCCAGATTGAGCGGGATGCCTTACTTACACGGGACTATGCCTGATTAGGCTGGTTTTCGACCACGGATACACCAGCGCCGATGCTGATTCAACTTTCAAGAAATTGCCACCCTGAAACGGGGCGCCCGAAAAGGCCCCCAGAAAACCCCACATGGGCCCCGACGAGAACCCCAGGGAGGCAAAACGTTCAAGCATGCACTGCCCTGCTAGAGCGTTGCTGCGCAGGCTGCGCAGCTTCCCTGCGACCAGTGGCGGATGCGCGGCAGCGTCAGCGGATACATGCTCTTCATAACACTCGCAGATGCGGCTGGCACCCGTAGGATCTGACGACTTGTACTTCATGATCTGCATCACAAGACTGCACTCCTTCATGGCGGCAGTGAACTCGTCTTGCTGCTGCCTGTTCGCATTCTGCCACGTCAGGTACCTCGAGCCTGTGTAGAATATCTTCACGGCGACCATCGTTTTGGTGTGTGAATCGTAGGCCGACCAGACGTCACCGAACGAGCCCGTCCCCAGGTGCTCCGGAGAGCTGAAGGGGCGCCGGTCGATCTCCGGGAAAGACTTGCCGGGAACGCCATTTGAGGGCGACGGCGCGGGGCGCCGACCACCACCGCCAGCGGGGGGCCATCCACCACCACCGACTGGCCATCCGCCACCGCCCACGGGCCAGCCACCGGCGCCGTGGGGCCACTGTCGCCGCTCGAGGAACTCTTCGAGCACGTACCGGTCCCTGAGGCGCTGGCCCTTGGCAGCCAGCTGCGTGCCGGCTTCCATGGAGGCGTTCGAGAGCATGCTCTCCATGATGCGTGCCGCGCGCACGGGAAGTGGGGAGCCAAATAGAAGCCACCCTAGCAGTGCCGAGGCCGTCGGGATCTTGCAGACCGCCATTCGGCACAGAGGAAGTGACTGGATTCACAAACAGAGGCGGATTGATTGATGTAGGGAAGTCCTCTGGACTAGCACTGCAGCGAGCCTTGGTCCAGAATGGCTATGAAGACTATCCCCTCCTGGCCTCCAGAAAAAGTCACCACAACGTCGACCCAAAATTCGCCGCCACAACGGGTTAATGGCGCATTAAATCCTTATGGCGATTGTCCACCACAATACCCAACATCCCTGCGCTTTTTGTAGCCTTCACGCCAGGGTTGTGGATGTCTCGGTCTCCCTGGTTGGCCTGTCCCTCGAAGCCTTCCAAGAGCGCAAGTGAAAGCGGGTCAGGCGTCAAGATGGCTCCAAGATGGCCCCAAGAAGACCCCTAAGATAGCCCCAACATGGCCAGAGGACCCTGCCCCAGAGACTCAGATCAACACTGAAAAATCAAGTGCTTTCAATGAGTTAGGCTTCCTTGCCTCTATGAGCTTAGACTCCTTCTTTTCCATCAGGCTGCGCCGCGAGGTCTGCGTGAGATCACGGGGCACTGCTTGGATTTCTTGCGAGGGTGAATATAGGAGCCGACAACACGCCTTAGCAGCCACCGTCGCAACGAGAATGCCAGCCAGACCGAAAGCTGGATTCAAGCACGTCCTGATGAGACAAAAGATGCAGGGCTCAAAGAAAGCAGTTGCACCTGGCAGCTGTTTCCTTCCTGACCTGGCGTGTGGAAACGGATACTCTTAATCTTTTAACAATCGCCCCTCCCTTGGAGTTTCCGGGAGGGGGGGGGGCCGTGGCTTGTCCGCGGGGGTGCGGGGGGGGGGGCGTTGGCCGCGCCGCGCGGGGGGGACGCACCCAGGGTTGACGTGCAGGGGGGGGGTTGGCTTCAGAACGTCCGCGCACGTGCGGAGGGGAGGGGTCGGATTCGGGAGGCAGTGCCGGAGGGGGTTGGCCGCGCCGCGTTTTCACGTTTATCACCCCCTCCCCTTGATTGATGACAAGTTTAGTTGGATGCTCGTTCTGGGGACCTTCCTGGAGCCACTCGCTCCACTCGTGCGTCGAAGCTGCGTCGAACGTCAGTCGATTTGGGTCGACCCTGAGTCGAACCTGAGTCGAACCTGAGTTGAACCTGAGTCGAACTTGAGTCGAACTTGAGTCGAACTTGAGTCGAACTGAGGTCGAACAGATCCGTTAGGTGGGCTCCAGGAAGGTCCCCGAAACGAGCATCGAAGTTTAGAGCACCCTCAACCGTGTGGAAGCGTGTGGGAGCGTGAGACCACGGGGAATGCCTTAGGTCGGGCATGTCCCCCTACAGGCGGATCTTGGACGAAAAAGGAAAAACATTCACAGATACTCCAAGAACAATCCAAAAATTGGTCAAAAAATCGTCCCCGGACTATTTTTTGACTACTTTTGAATATTCCTCCTGTAGAGGGACAGGCCCGACTTAAGTGGGACGCACATGGACATACTAATACTATATGTCCTCCTTGGAGGCGCGCGCCCGACCCGAACATACAGTGTACCCATCTTGTAGTATATCGTTTCCCGAGCGGTGTGGCCAGAAAGCGCCCGCCACGACGCATGTACTATAAGATTTCTCGGTGCGCGCGTCGCCCCTGGGGGGGCGACGCACATATAGTATAAGTATGTTGGGGTGTTGCCGACTTAAGGCACGCCTCGCCACGCGTGCGCCGCCAGAGAGACGGCAGAGCCCAAACGCGCAGCTCGACGTCGGCCGCCGTGCGCCCGCCGGGGCGAAGCGCCCGCCGGCGCTGCCCGCAGAAGCTCCCGCGGGCAGGCTGCGACAAATACCAGGTCGGGCATGTCCTCCTGCAGGGGGCATCCAAGATAGCCCCAAGACCGTCCAAGAAGCCTCCAAGACGTCCCAGGCCCCCTCCAAGAGACCCCCAGGAAGCCCCAAGAGGCCCCCACGAGGCTTCCAAGCGGCCCCTAAGAGCTTCCCAAGAGGCCCACAAACTACCGCCAAGAGGCCCCCAAGAGCGCTCGTCGTCGTCGTCGTCGTCGTCGTCGTCGTCGTCGTCGTCGTCGTCGTCGTCGCCATGTCGGGCATGTCCTCCTGCAGGGGGGATCTTTCACAGGCCTAGAGATTGACACCAGCACCAATTTCGGCGGTGTGCCTCCACCCGGGGGAAGAAGATCCCGATCTCGGTGATGGTGGTAATATATTCTGGCTTCCAGGGTGGCCGAACTATGACCACCGACACCGAAAATCTGGGATCATCTTCCCCCTGTGGAGGCAACCCTCTGTCTTGGTGTTGGTGCCAATTTCCAGGCCTCCGAATCCTGGACGAAAAACTACAGATGCCCAAGAAATATTCCAGAGTGGTGAAGCAGCGATCGAGAAGTCGTCCCCAGACTATGCTTTCTGGCCATCTTGAACCTTCCTCCTGTAGAGGGACGTGCCCGACTTCAGACCAAAATACCGAGACCCTGCGGCGCGCCGAGAGGGGGGAGGCGCGAGGGGGCAGGCCTTTTTCGGAAGGCGGCGGGGGGGGTGATCAACGGCCCTCCCGCACTCTGAGCAGCCCGCTGCGGCTTCGGACACGGGCTTCGAGAGCTGCTCGGGAGGCCAGAAGCCTTCTCGAGAGCTGGTCTTAAGCGTGGAAGAAGTTCGTTTGCGCTGTGTTTTTGACGCGATGCTTTTTGCGCAGCGTTTTCTTACGCCATGTTTTGTTACGCAGTGGTTTTGCACGCGAGGGCTGTTACACCGTGCTTTTGCTTTACGCCGTAATTTACGCAGTGTTTCCTTTTGTTTACGCAGCGTTCCTTACGCAGTGTTCTTTACGCAGTGTTTTTGCACGCGGTTGACGAGCGCGTCCAGAGTCGCCTTGGGGAGGTCGTTCCGCAGGAACGCCCCGAACCCCTTCGAAAACCTCGAACTTCGAATCTCGAACCTTCGACTGCCTTCGAACCGCCGAGCCTCGAACCTCGAACCTTCGAACTTCGAACCTCGAACCTCGAACCACGGCCCGCCCCCACCGCACGAGCGCGTCCAGGTCGCCCTGGGGCAGGTCCTCCCGCAGGAACATGTCTATGGCCCTCCAGTCCTGCTGCACGGCCTGCCGCCCGCGCGCGCGGAGGGAGGCGGGCGAGGCGGGCGTCAGGAGCGGAGGAGGATCCACCTCCCCCTCCTCCTCCTCCTCCTCCTCCTCCCTCCTCCTCCTCCTCCTCCTCCTCCTCCTCCTCCTCCTCCTCCTCCTCCTCCTCCTCCTCCTCCTCCTGCTCCTCTCCCTCGTCTGCCTCGTGCCTCCTCCTCCTCCTCCTCCTCCTCCTCCTCCTCCTCTGACGCTCCCCCATTTTCTTCGACCAAGCGGGAGGGGCCTCCACCATGGTCGACGTCTCCACCGGCCCGATCGCGTGGATCGTGGCACGCCAGTCCTGCCGCACCGCCACCCGGACCTCTGCAGGGCACGACGGCCGCGGGGGCAGGCCGGAGGGCCAGGCCGAAGGGCGGGGGGGCGCAGGAGGTGGGGTCGGAGGATGCGACGCAGGCATCGGTGAGCGTGACGATGCTGGCGAGGTCGGACACGCATGGACCGCTGGCGTTCCAGCAACATGCAGTGGACCGCGGCGAGGGCGCCCTGCAGCTCAGATCGGATCCGTCGCGTGGGGGGGGAGGATCGCGCCGCATCGGCGATGCATCGGCGACGTAGGCGATGCATCGGCGACGTCGGCGCGGAGAAAAGTGGACTCCGCGTCGAGCCGCATCGCAGATGCATCGGCGATGTGGCGCGAACCTCCGACCCCATGTATTCGGACCCCATCTGGGAGGCCTAGACTTGAGAAGAGTGAGAGCAAACTGCCTGGAGTGCCCCTCCAGAGATCCGAGGGTCCAGAAAAATTCGGCCAACAGGGGCCCTCGCCGGGCCCCGGGAGGCCTGGGACCGTTCGAAAAGAAGAAGGACTTGGGACGAAAATCTAGCCCCAGGGAAGCGGTTCAGACCCCCAGGGGCCCACGCATTCACAGAAGTGGAGCGGCTGGATGTCTCGGTCCAGTCCACCCCTCGCTCCTTCCCAGACTACTTTAAGCCAGGAGGCGAAGTTCCTGGATTTCGGCCGCTGAGGCACGTGTTCGGTCCCCAGGGCCATCCAGCATGGACCCCTGGCGAGAAACGAGCCCTGGGGAAGAGGCCGGGACCTCTGGGGCCGCAGAGCGGAGACAAACATGTCGATGGCAAGATTCGGGGGACGACGACGAGGACGCGAACGCGAGGGGGGATGGGGAGGGGGGGGGGGAAACGAACGACGAGGCGACAGGGGAGAGGGCGCCTAGGCAGCCCGCGCCCCTCCACTGCCTCGCGCCCAGAGGCTTCCGAGCTGCCGGGCCCGCTCCTCTCCCTCGGGGTCGGACCGTCGGGTGCGCGCGGGTTTTCTCCTCGCCCGCGCGGAAGCCTCCGGAGGCCTCCAGGGAACTCTCGAGGAGCCTCCGAGGGCGGGGGCCTCCGAGGACGGAGGCACCTGGCGACTCCACGCGATCGTGCTGCACGTGTCTCGCCCTGGCACCGGCAGACGACGCAGAACTCGCCAGCCCCGCGGGCCAAAGGCATGCTGTCGAGGGCCGAAAATCCACCCCCATCGTAATCACCCCGACACGCGAAGCCGTCCATGTAGCAAACGCACCCGAAGAAGGAATCAAACAACGCAGAGCTGTTTAGTAAACGCCCAGGGCGGTTCAGTAAGCGCCAATTGTCGGGTCCGGGTGGTTTCTCCTCCCTTGATGCTGAGATCTCTGGTAAGAGGTTCCAGGTGTTTGCACGGCAGGTTCGTGTCGTGTCGACCCCGGCGCTGGTTCATGTCACCACGGGAATCGTTCCATCTTGAACGATCGGCCGTTTCCCAGGCGTCAGATCGTTAACATCGACCGATTCTGGGTCGCCGGCGGCGTTCAACTTGAACGCCGACGGCGGGGTCACCTCCGGTCGACACGACCCGAACCTAACGTATATTACTGGATATCGCGCGCGCGGGGGGCGGCCCCTGGGAGTCCCCGACCCGAAAAATACCCCAGTGCTAGCGCGCCCGACTCGGGTCAGAGCCGGTTATCGGTCTGGGCGCGGTCTCCATGACCCCCAAGAAAGCTCCACGAGCGCTCTACAGGGCCTGCGTTCCAGCGTCCAAGACGGTTGCTTCACACGGTCCAGGAGGCATCCAAAACGCCCCAAGGGCGCTCCCACCTCCTCCTCCTCCTCCTCCTCCTCCTCCTCCTTCTCTTCCTCCTCCTCCTCCTCCATCATCATCATCATCATCATCATCATCATCATCATCATAATCATCAT